GTCAGGGGGTGCGCTGGGCGGGCCTGCGCCCAGGCCTCCGCGAGGCGGCTGGTCCCTGGGACCAGGAACTGGGCCGACACCTCGAAGGGAAGCGTTCCTCTGGGTCACAGGTGGGGCCCTGGAGCTGGAGCATCTGTGCAGAGTCCATATTAGGCAACAGGAACTGCCTGAAAGGCACTGATTTTTCACTGCGTGTCACTCAGCCCTGGTGACTCAGCCCTGCGGTTACTCACCCAGCGCCCGCGCTGCTGGGAGAGGCCCTGCGGCACCTGGGGCTGGTCTGACACCCTCCGCGGGGAGGGCGGCCAGTGGCCGGGGAGGGGGGGTTTTTCCTTTAAGATCAGATTAATTGAGTCGCTGACTCACACCCCAGGGACTGGCTGGCGTCCTGAAGGGCTCCATTTCTAAAACAACACAGGCTCCCTCTGAACAGTTTTACTGCCACCTGGTCAAGCTCATTAAAGTGTCAGGGGGAGTTTAAAAAGTCACGCTGGCCCGGCTGGGGTGGCTCAGTGGGTTGAATGTCAACCTAGGGACCGAGAGGTCTGGGTTCAATGCCCAGTCAGGGCACAGGCCCGGGTTGCGGGCTCGATCCCCAGTAGGGGGCACGCAGGAGGCAGCCAATCAAGGATTCTCTCGCATCTTCCTTCCTCTCTCCTAAAAATCAATAAAAACATATTTAAAAAGTCACACTGGAAACCAGGTAACTAAAGCAATTTAGAGAAACTGAAGTAGTTTAGTAGCAGCAACAAATGTGGAAATAGTGTTAAACATTACTCCAGCACTAGGAATGGCATGAGGTCTTATTATTACTTTTTTAAAAAGAAGACTTTATTTTTATTTTAGTTCCCAGTGAAATTGGGCAGAAAGTGCAGAGTTCCCCGGTCCGCCCCGCCCGCACGTGGGCACGGCCTCCGCTGCTATCACATCCTGCACCGGAGTGGTACCTTTGTTACAGTCGGTGAGCTGCGTGGACGCACCTTCATCGCCCAAAGTCCACAGTGTGCGTCAGGGTTCACTCTGCTGCCGTGAAGTCTAGGGTTTGGACAAATGTGCCAGGACCTGGGCCACCACTGAGGGTGTGCAGAGCAGCTTCGTGGCCGTAACATTCTCTGTGCGCCACCGATTCAGAGATCTTGGGGCGTGTGTGCGCGTGTGTGTGCGTGTGTGTGTGTGTGTGTGTGTGTGTGTGTGTGTTTGCGTTTGCTCGTTTTTTTTTAGGTTCAAATGAAATGATCTAAGCATGGGTTAAAGTCCAAAAGTTTAATAAAGCACTAGGGCCCAAGTGTTGAAACTTAAAATTAATGACTGCTTTTGCTTTAAGTCTACAGTATTAAATGGCAACATTAGTATGAAGATTTCATCAACTCAGAACCCACATCTTTGCTGTAGACACAACACAAAAAGGTTTGTTGGCTCAGTAAAGGCAATAGTGTGTCCGGGAGGCTTCCAGCCGAGGACAGCACCAACTGTTAACAACCCTTTGCCCTGGAGCTCAGCTCAAATTAAGCAAATAAATAATAACAAAGGACAGAAAAAGCTCTGGAAAAATCTCCCAATGTCAGGAAAATAAGTACATTTCTACATAACCCAAGAGCCAAAGAAGACATCACAGAGAAAATTAGAAAATATTTTGAACTGAATGAAAATGAAGACACAACATATCAAAATGTGTGACATGCAGCTAAAGCAGTGCGTAGAGGGTAGTTAATAGCATCAAATACATATATTAAGAAAAAAAGTCTTTAAAATGAATGATCTAAGTTTCCACCTTAAGAGATTAGGGGACAAAATGCAAATTAAACCATACATGAGCACAAGTGACGATAAAAGTGGAAACTAATAAAATAGAATATAGTAAAACAATAGAAAAAAATCAATGGGCCGAAACCGGTTTGGCTCAGTGGATGGAGCGTCGGCCTGCGGACTGAAAGGTCCCAGGTTCGATTCCGGTCAAGGGCATGTACCTGGGTTGCGCGCACTTCCCCAGTGGGGGATGTGCAGGAGGCAGCTGGTCGATGTTTCTCTCTCATCGATGTTTCTAACTCTCTATCTCTCTCCTTTCCTCTCTGTAAAAAATCAATAAAAATATATTTAAAAAAAAAATCAATGGAACCAATAGTTATTTAAAGAAGTTAATAAAATCAATAAACCTCTAGCCAGAATGATTAAGAAAAAAAAACACAACAAAATATCAATATCAAGAATGAAAGAAGGCTGTCACCATGAATCCTACAACCAAAAAGATTATAAGGGAATATTTTGAACAATCAGTACAACTGATTAAATTTGACAACTTATGGGTGAAACAAATTCTTTGAAAGTTACACATTATTGAAATTGACTCAAGAAGAAATAGAAAGCCTTCATAGTCTTATATCTATTAAATAAATTAAATTTGTCATTTTACTGCTGACAGGGAAGATACCAGGCCCAGATGGCTTCATTGGAGAATTCTATAAAATGTTTAAAAAAGATCTAATACCCATTCTACACAAATACTTTGGAAAATAGAAGGAGGAATAACACTTTCAAACTAATTTTTATGAGACAGGTATTACCCCGATCTGTCAAAATTATTATAAAGAAAGAAAATCATAGGTCGATATCCCTTATTCACATAGATGCGAAATACTTAACGTGTTAACAAAATATAAGTAACAGCATATAATACATATTTATGTAATAATTATATATAACATTATAAATAACTCTACCCGTTGATAGACATAGAGAGAGAATATCACATAGAGAGGTAATATGCTGAGTGGATTTATTCCAGGGATTCAAGACTGTTTAATTGTCAAAGTCAGTTAATCCAACACAGGATAAAGGCGGAAACTGGGCGCTATTTCTGTTGGCCGTCCCCACGCCAGATTCAGTGATTCCCTGAGACTCACGGGACTCACACACAGGCACACTCATGGCTGAGGTTCACACAGCGGAAGGACATAGAGCAAAATCAGCCAGGAGGTGAGGTCTGGCCGGGCCCAGGTGTCGGCTCCCGACGCCCTCTCCCTGCGCCTCGCTCCCCAACAGCAGGCGTGACCCAGGCGTGAGCTGCTGGCTCCCAGGGAAGCTCATTAGAGGCTCCACCCAGGGCTTTTATTGGGGCCGGTCCCAGAGGCCAGCTCCGCTTGGCACGCATTCCAGACGCCAGGAAGGGAATCGGTTGCGCAGCTCGAGCCATGCTGTTTGCACAAGCGGGTTCGGCACCGCGAGCCACGCCCCCGTGGCTGCCCCTCTCTGACGGGCTTCGCTCACTCAGCAGCCACGTGGACCTGCTGGGCCCCTTCTAGTGACTTCCTACAGCACACGCCAGCCTGCCTCTCTGCCGGTGGCCTCACTACCTCCGTCCTCTTCCAGTTTCTGCATGGGCATCCCTGTTTGTGGTGTTACCTGTCACTCCTGCCATTTCCCGTGTCACCATGACAGCTATCCTGCTCTAACCACTGCCGTCTTGTCTTGCAGGGGGTCACCCCCGCCCCCCCCACCCCCACACCCAGGGTTTAAAACTGACCTGGGACTGATGAAGTCCAGAGGCTGGAAGGGAAATTAGGTGAGAGAGTTCCTGGGAGACAGAAGGGGGAAGAAATCCTTCCCTTAGGGCAGTGATGGCGAACCTTCTGAGCTCGGCGTGTCAGCATTTTGAAAAACCCTAACTTAACTCTGGTGCCGTGTCACATATAGAAATTTTTTGATATTTGCAACCATAGTAAAACAAAGACTTATAGTTTTGATATTTATTTTATATATTTAAATGCCATTTAACAAAGAAAAATCAACCAAAAAAAAAATGAGTTCGCGTGTCAACCTCTGACACATGTGTCATAGGTTCGCCATCACTGCCTTAGGGGGAGAGAAGGTCACAGGACTGACAGGACTTAGGACAGTGCCCGAGGCCCTGAGTACACGGTGACCTCTGCTTCCTGCGTCCAGTTGCTCGACCTTCTCAGACCCGCTGGACGTGCCTGCCTCCACAGCTGGCCGCGCAGACACCTGCTCCAACACCGGATCCCCTGTCGTCACTGGCAGAGATTTCACAACATGAGGAACTACCGGCTGTGTTGCCCATAGAGGGTACAGAGGCAGTGCCTGCCCAGTTGTTTTCAGTCGGTGGTTATCCAGGATGGAATCTGCTGTTATGTCAGTGTCCACTGAGGACCTACTGTGCTCAGCACTCACTAAGACGACCAAGTAAAGGCCCAGCACGGAGACGCCGCGCGGCCACGGCGCCCGGGAACTTCAAGGACTGGTACCGACAGCCCCCCTTCCGATCACAGTGTTATCAAGTTATTAATAACAAAGTTGTGTCCATTTCCTGTACTTTGAGAATTTAGAGAAACTTCTGAATAATTTAATGTAAAATAAAATATCATGGAAATTAGGAATTACCTGAGAGTGAATGGTAGAACTACTACCTATTAGAATTGGAAGGAGGAAGCAATCACTAGAGTGAGCATTTTAGCTGCAAATACTTAATTGCAAAAGGGGAAGCGTTGTTCATTTGTGAGCCGAGGGCAGGTAAAGTCCTCCCGCCCCCAGCAGAAATGACCAAGGCAAGAGCCGAGACGGGACCAGCAGGCACCACCGAGCCAGGGACCTGCGTGCAGACGGGGCAGCGCTTAAAATGAGAGGATCTTAGAGGAACCTGCGGGCCCACACGTGGAAAACTTCCTAGAAAAATACAGCGTCGCCACCGCGACTCAGGACGAAGCGCTCACCCCGAGCGCTCCGAGGCCCGGCGAGGAAGCGAGCACAGATAAGGTCTCCTTCGAGGAAATGTCCGCAGGGAAGATTTCCCCAGGATCCCGGGGAAAGCCGTCCGGCATCGCACACACGCCTCCACGGGACGCAGGTGCAGACACCGCTCCTCGGCAACGCGCTGGAGCCCACATCGGTTGGGGTCCTCAGGACCCCAAAGCCCAGGAGGATGCTCGAAGGAGGGGACCCTCCGGATAGTGTCCCCCGAGAAGACAGCTGTGAACATCCGCAGCGAGACGCCAGCAAACAGAATCAGGGGCTGTGCAGGGGAGGTAGCGTTTATCCTGGGAAAACCAACTGAAGGAGAAAAACTGTCATTGCAGCAAAGGCAGTTCTGAAATTTAACATTCACTCATCTGTAATAAAAAAAAACAAACTTAAACTGTAAGAAGAGCATATCTTTAATATAATGAAGACAATTTATTAAAAAACAATTTTACAGCAAATGTTAAACTTAATGGTGAAACATTAAAAACATTGTCCTCAAAAACTTAATGATTTTTTTTTTAATTGGGAAACACTCAAATCCACCCGCTTACCCTTTCTCATCCACACGTGACAGATGCTTGTCGAGAAGATAAGGACAGGAAGTTCCAGAATCGGAAAGGAAAGAGAGAAACGGAAATTACTCAGGGACGTATTCAACAGGCTCCTTAGACATTCCTAAGAAATACACCGGTAGATGAATAAAGGGTTTTAGAAAAGCTGCTGCAAAATCAAAATACAAAGACCAGTGACACGTGTACAACGTTGCTGCAAAAACAGCCGTCAGTGAAAATGGGTGATGAAAACGATCCTGTTTTGCAACCAGACTCAGGAATAAGCACAATAAAAACGAGCAAGCCTCTCACAGAGACCTTTCTGGAATCTGCCGGCAGATGGAAGACCTGAGGAAATGGAGAGGTAGGCCATGCCTTTGAAGCTATAACTTCCCTTTTATTTCCTCCCCCAACTTTATTGAGGTTTAATTGAGGTATAACTTCCTGTCACTTCAAGGCCTACAAAGGGTTGATTTGATCCGATTGCAACATTGCTACCACTTCCCTTTTGTGGTGAGAACATCTACCAGTAAGATCTACTCTCTGTAGATCTTGGTGCTTTCAAGTACCAGAGTATAGGATGGCTCTACAGCACCGCCATGCAGTGCGTTGCATGCCCAGAACGTACCCGTCTTATAACTGGAAATTCGGACCCTTGGACCATCTCCCCATTTCCCCCGCCCCCAAGCCTCAGTAACCACCATGCTCTCTGTTTTCACGAGAATAAAAATATGAGAGTTTTCAATGATGTTATATCACCTACAAATGGTATCATGCGGTGTTTGCCTTTCTCCGACTCATGGCTGTGCCTCCTAACCATGTCCACTATCGGCCGGCCGATCTCTAGATCCAATGTTACTCCAGAGAACATTCTAACACGTTTCTGTTCTGTTTTGCTGGACTTCGGCAAACGGAATCTTGAACTTGCTGGTGAGACAGCGGTACAGACCATAGGACTTCACTTCATAAAAGGAAGAACACGCACATTCCCTGCAGGCGTGGCTGCTCTGGGAAAGAATTGTTGCTAGGCAACAAATCAGCTGGGACCTCACGGGCTGG